GGAGTTTGATTCTGCACAGCAAAGTGGACAGTGTCCGCCCAGTGACGACAATCAGTACTCGTCAATTTCAACTGATGAAAACTTGACATCTAAGCAAGAACAAACAAAAAATAATGCTTTACTAAAACAACTATTGCAGAACTGTCCTTCAGCCGATGTGGCCAAAGAGGGTGAAAATCAAGCCTCTAATGCACCTGTTGTCGTGGCAGTAGAAAAAGATGTCAAGTTTGAGAATGTGGAAAGAAGCTCATGTCAACATGAACAGCAGCAACAGCACCAACAACAGTTGCAGCATCAACCGCATCAACAACAACAGCAGCATCAACAACTGCATCAACAGCAATCCAGTGATTCGAATGGGCAAATGGAAAGTTTGTCTAGCGACAGAATGTCCATAGAGTCAAACATTGAAATGGACACTGGCTTGGGTGAATCGATGAACGGACAGAACATTCTTTCTCATCAAGAAAGCAGCAACAGTCCCTCTGCCGGCACAACACCCCACACCGAGAGGAAGATGACCTACTTGGACATTCGAAGGGCTCAGTTGGAGCGCGATCCCACGCCTCCTCCAGAGGAGAAGCCAAAACGAAAACGAACGCTGAAACGTAAAGAGAGCAAGAGTATTGACGAGTCATTTGACAACACCTCCAATCAATCGGGCAGTCTGCCGACAACGCCGAAAACTAAAAAACGAGTGCGGAAAGGCTCACAGAATCGAGTGGACGAGTCGGTGAACAACAACAGCAGCAATAACAACCACGCCGTCATCAACAACAACAACAATGAACACTACGAGCACATGCTAGCGAACTTGGTCGGCCAGCTTCGTACTCTTCCTCAGTTGAACTTGGTCGAGCCAACCCTCAAACCCAACATGAGCGTCTGCACGCTTCCTGATGCCCCTGATTTTAACTCGAATGAGATCATGCTACGAGGCTCCTTCGGCAATGCCTCCCTCTCTCACATTGTCGACTACTACACGACGTATCCATTCGGACCACTTAGGGCTTCGTCGGTGTTGCCTTCCCTCCCACCTGCAGCTCTGAACAACAACACCATTAATCCGGGCAATACAATTAATCAGCCTAAGGCAAAGTTTTACATCGATGAGTTTGGCTTTATGAAGAATTTCAATGATTTGGAGGAGCATGTCAAGGTGGTTCCAACTACTGTCGCAAGCCACTGGCGCGATACTGATAGCCCGGAGACGGTTGTCTCGTGCTCGTCGCCTGAGCCTGACATCTACGAGATGCCTCCCAATGAGTACAACAGCCTGAAGTACATCAACGACGACACCGATGAGCAGAGTAATCGGGAGCGTGACTGTGGATCACCGATTCTCTTCATTCCAGTGCCCGTCCGGCCAACAGTGGACTTTGGCGATTCAGCGGAAAATGACAAGGAGAATCGACGCAATGGACAGAGTATAAAGCCGATCCTACTGAATGGCATGCCGCTGAAGGATTCAGGCAATGTGAACATCACTCTAATGCTTCCACATCAGCTCGACATTAGGAACGTGCTCATTTCGTTGGCCAAACTGCTACGTGTCACACAGCCATTAACGTGCAATGTGAACAGATCTCCTAAGGAGACGGAAATTGTGAAAATTGAAGAGGACGAACTCATTGACGACCGCTGTAAGTTCTGCGAGGAGCCTCTCGAGGTGAAGACCGAAATTGATTCGCCTCTCAAGGAGTACGAGTTCAATGGCTTCTGTACGCAGGAGTGTGCTGACAATCACAACCTGATCAGCCGTTTGGGGCTGGTCAGCTCTGCGGACAAGGACGAGTCCAGCGAAGACCGAGGAAGCCACTCGCTGGGAGCAGATTTACAAAACGACGGTGATGAGAGCGAAGTTATATCAATCTTTGAGGGCGATACAAATGAGTTCACCAAGACGGCATTCGACTTTGAAGGCATTAACATTGACGAGAAACGCTGGAAAAACACTCGCTACATGTACTGGAGCCCCTCTTCCTTCAAGGAGAAGTCGAGTAAGCGTTCAGATGAGGAAGATGGCGAAGAGGCCATTGAACGGGAACTGGACCGGTTGGCCATTTGCCTGAGACCGGCGAAGGATGCCGTTGAGACGCGAGTGTGTCTGTTCTGCCACCAGGTGGGCGACGGAGAGAGCAACGGCCCGTCTCGACTGCTCAACTACGACGTCGACAAGTGGGTGCACCTGAACTGTGCCCTCTGGTCCTACGATGTCTATGAGATGCTCAACGGTGCTCTGATGCACGTCGACGTGGCGTACCAGCGTGCCCTGACCATTGTCTGCGTCCGATGTGAGCGTGTGGGCGCCTCCCTGAAGTGCTTCAAGCTGCGTTGCGCCAATCAGTACCACTTTGCCTGCGCCATCAAGGAGAAGTGCTTCTTCAACAAGGACAAGACCGTCCACTGTCCTCAGCACTCGCCCAGGAAGATCCACCCGAATCCGGATGAGATGACCAACTTTGCTGTCAGTCGTCGGGTGTTTATCAATCGCGACGAGCAGAAGCAGATTGGCGCCATGATTGAACAGGGCGAAAACCGCAACCTGTTGCGAATTGGCAGTCTCATTTTCATGAACATCGGCCAACTGTTGCCCCATCAGCTGGCGAACTTTCACACTAGCTCGTACATTTACCCGATTGGCTACAAAATCTCCCGTTTCTACTGGAGCTTTCGCCGACTGGCCAAGCGATGCCAGTACATCTGCTCCATCAGCGAACGCGAGGGCAAACCGGAGTTTTCCATTGAAATCATTGAAGACGGCTACGAGAATGTCACCTTCACCGACGTCACTCCGAAGCTAGTCTGGCAGAAAGTCCTCAATCCTATTATGAAAATGCGCGAGGAGTCACAGACCATTAAGGTGTTCAGTGATTTCATTTCCGGCGAGGACCTCTTTGGCCTCACCGAGCCAGCTGTTATTCGCATTCTCGAGTCGCTGCCAGGCGTCGACACGCTTCCTGACTACAACTTCAAGTACGGTCGATCTCCGTGGTACGAACTGCCGCTCGCCATCAATCCCACCGGCTGCGCTCGCACTGAGCCGCATATGCGCACACACTTTAAGCGTCCCCATCTGACTTTGCACGCCTCCAGTAATGTGCCCGCTCGATCCTCCTTTCAGTCATCACTCAGCTCCTCCTCAGAGAGCTCCTCTCCTTACGTGAAAACCTTCGTGCACTCCAAAGTGACGCAGTATCGCAAGATGAAGCAGGAGTGGCGAAGCAGTGTCAAGCTGGCCAGATCGCGCATCTCAGGCCTTGGCCTGTACGCAACCAAGGATATTGAGAAGCACACGATGATTATCGAGTACATTGGCTTGATTATCCGCAACGAGGTATCGGAGCGAAACGAACGAGATCACATTGAACATGTAAGTTTTAGGCACGAGCCAATGGAGGCTTTAATCCCAACTAACCAATCTCATTCATTTGTTTTCTCACAGAATCGCGGCATTTACTTCTTTCGTCTTGACGATAATCGAGTCATTGACGCCACACTCAGCGGCGGTTTGGCTCGGTACGTGAATCACTCTTGTGATCCCAACTGTGTTACAGAATGTGTGCAGATTGGCAATGAAAACAAGATTCTCATCATTGCTAACCGGCGAATTCAGGCCGGTGAAGAGGTACGATACCTTCTGCCGTACGTTTAAAGCTTTAACTAATCTTTTATTTCATTCATTTTCAGCTCACCTATGATTACAAATTTGAATTTGAGGATGACCACAACAAGATTCCCTGCAGCTGCGGCGCCGCCAACTGCCGCAAATGGATGAATTAATAACCTGTAAATAAATGACTACAAGAACCCATTTTATCACTTCATATTTTGCTCACTGTCGCCGCATCAGCATGCCATGCGCCGACACTTCCTCTGTAAATTGACAAGATTTTCATTATCGTCTATATTTTATTTATATTTATTTAAAATAACTCATCCGCAAATATACTCTTGTGCAATACACAGACACTCACACACACCAATTGTAAAATAGTGTACACTTTTACACACTTGCTATTGATTTTTCGCAACGAATCAAAAGTTTTATCGCCTGCTTGTATAAACCCAAATGCTTCTTTTGTTGGCATCTTATATATTAAATTACTTATCAAACATTACTACTTCGTCTTGAATTTCAAGCTTTATTTTTAGAATGCCCAATCAATCGGAAAGTACTGGCGGTGGTTGCACTACCTTCGGGCGCCCTCGAGATGGCGTTTCGGGTGGATCTACGGCTGAGTGAATTTGTAGGCTGCCAGCAGTGCTCTGGCCAACACTCTGAATCTGTGCTGGCCAATTGTTGTTGACAGTGTCTTTCCTTCAGTAGGCGAATCAGTGTGTCTCTGTGTGTTACAGATGATGACCAACAACTGTCATTGAGATGCATCGCCTCTGATCGGTGTCGGTCGTGGCACACCAGGACTGAACTCGCCCCCAACTGAACAACAGCACATCGGCCAGACATCAGCGCCCCGCCAGAGCCCACTGCCGAGAGCACTGCCGCAGTGTTTTTGTTGTTGAGCTTTATACTTTTCTTCTTTTCTTCTCCCACTCTATCTCTTTCCCTTTCTCTACGCCAGCTTGTCGCTGTCNAGTGTCTTTCCTTCAGTAGGCGAATCAGTGTGTCTCTGTGTGTTACAGATGATGACCAACAACTGTCATTGAGATGCATCGCCTCTGATCGGTGTCGGTCGTGGCACACCAGGACTGAACTCGCCCCCAACTGAACAACAGCACATCGGCCAGACATCAGCGCCCCGCCAGAGCCCACTGCCGAGAGCACTGCCGCAGTGTTTTTGTTGTTGAGCTTTATACTTTTCTTCTTTTCTTCTCCCACTCTATCTCTTTCCCTTTCTCTACGCCAGCTTGTCGCTGTCAAAGAGTGTCTGTGCTCAGAGAAGAACACCTGGCTCACCGCCTCCACTGCTTCCACAACAACTGACCACCGCCATCTGCAGCAGCAGCAGAAGCAGAAACCCACAGTTTTTCATTCCACAATGAACGATCTCTTCCGTAATATGCTTGCCTCGGGCAGCAGTAGCAATTCCGCCTCGGAGAGTGGAAATCCCTTCATCGGAAGTATCATTGAGTTGAAAGAAAATACACTCCGTCTGGAAGAGCTGATTGCAGAAGGTAAAAAGTCCACTTCATTTTTGCGCACTTTGTTTTCTTTAATCTGATACTCAAACATTACCTTTTTCTACTTACTAGGTGGATTCGGATTAGTCTTCAGGGCTCGTGATGTCAAGACTTCTCAAATCTATGCACTGAAGCGACTAATTAACTCGGACAGTGAATCTCGAGAGGAGATCGAGAATGAAATATCCATGCTTAGTCGCGTGCAGAAGCACAAACACATCATGGAGTTTTACTACTGTGATAAAGTAAAACCAAACATTTCATTCCTGCTTTGGTAATATTGAATAGAATATACTGTTGTCCCTTCTCTAACTGAACACCTTTTTGCAGTGAATATTGTGGTTCAGGCTCATTGAAGGATCTTCAGCTGCCCATTGCCAATAAGCAACAGTTACATCGAGTAGCGTATCAGCTTTGCCTTGCACTGGAGCGAATTAACATGCTGGGAATTATTCACCGCGACATAAAGATCGAAAATGTTCTCTTTGATCATGCTGGCTTCATCAAATTGTGCGATTTCGGTTCTGCCACTGACAAGTCTTACACACCTGATCACAACTGGACGCCCATTCAGCGGTCACTCTTGGAGGATGAGGTTTGTGCAATTGTATGGGGGCATAGTTTTTGCCTGATTATAAATGTATCCTGCCACTGTAGATGAATCGTCACACCACACCAATGTACAGGCCACCAGAAATTCTCGATACCTACCTGCATTATCCAATCAACACCGCCATGGATATCTGGGCCTATGGTTGTCTGCTCTTCTGCCTTCGCTTTGGACAGCATCCATTTGAGGACTCGGCAAAGCTTCGAATACTGAACTGCAACTACACTATTCCAGCACCTGTTAACGAGTCGGATGTTATTGTGCAGATGATCAAGTCCTGCTTGAAGTTGAACCCTTCGGAGAGAACCGATGCCAGTAACATGATTCGCCTCATGGAAGCCAACTTTGTTGATTTGAATTCACCGTGTGTGCCCCCGCGAAGTTTGCCACAAGCCAACCCCGTTCAGATGACTACCCCTGCCCCNCCCGTGTGTGCCGCCGCGAAGTTTGCCACAAGCCACCCCCGTTCAGATGACTACCCCTGCCCCCACATCGTCGAACATAGCCGCAGCACCTTCGGGCAACGTTCCAGGCATTGCCCAGTCATACTTTTCCGGTTTCACTCGGTACATAAAGGACACCNCCACATCGTCGAACATAGCCGCAGCACCTTCAGGCAACGTTCCAGGCATTGCCCAGTCATACTTTTCCGGTTTCACTCGGTACATAAAGGACACCTCTAGCAAAGTGATGCAAACGGTGCAAAAGTAAGTTTAGTCTAAAGGTGGTCTGATCGAGTATTTTTAACTTATCGGTTGCACTTGTTTTAGTTCAATTGCTCGACAAGACCTTGATCTCTCGTTTATAACCTCCCGACTGGTTGTGATGTCGTATCCCGCCGAAGGACTGGAGTCTGCCTACCGAAACCACATTGAAGACGTGAAAGCCTACCTCGATTCACGCGGCTACCCCTACATGGTCGTCAATGTCAGCGGTCGCTCCTATGACTCACTCAAGTTTGGCGCCCACATCAAGGTCATTGATGGCGGGGCCTCGTGGAGAGACGCTAAAAGGCCCCCTTCGATGAAGTCACTCATTAGTCTGTGTGACTCGATCTTCAAGTGGACTAATCAGAATGCGCGAAATGTAGTCGTCATTCACTGTATGGTAAGTGATTGATTTTCTAGACTTTATGATTATCAAAGTATATTCTAACAACTCTTACTATCTTTTTAGGACGGAAAAGCAAACTCTGCACTGTTGACCATATCTTTTCTGCTTCTGATCGGCCTATTTAAAGAGTACAAAAAGGCGTACAAGTTTTTTAGCAGCAGACGTCCACAAGTTGAGTTAAGCAACTCTCAGCATCGTTTTTTAAACTATGTCAGCAAACTGAAAAGTGACGAAAAGTACCTCGGATTCTTTTCCTCCAGCAATCTAGTGCTGATCAAAAGCGTCACCATGCAAGGCATTCCCATATTTACCAAAATGAGGTACGTTTTCACTGTAAACAAATGAATTGTGCTTAATCAATACTGCTTGTATTTGCAGAGATGGATGTCGTCCTTTTCTGGAGATTTTCTCTGAAAGCAAGCTCTACTCTACGTGTACCGATTACGAGAAGCTAGTACAGTACAACAGGTCTTCGGCGAGTCATATCTCCTGGAAAGACATTAACGTCTCGGTCACACTAAACACTGATTTGCAGTTTGTCATATGTCACGCACGATCGACCATTGGCTCAAAGGTTCTTAGTCAAGCGAAGCTGACGCCCATTCGAATCACATCAACGCAATTCAACCTTTTCTTTGAGACTGACCACCAAATAGGAAGTCAGAAAATCTCCTTTTTACTGAAAGATCTTGACGACATTGACGAAGTGGACAGATTTCCACACGAACTTAAAATTGAGGTGGACTTTGAAATTTCAAAAGCTCAGTCACCGCTCAGTGCAACAAGCTATGAAGAGGTCAGTCAGAATGAGATTCTTCTCCTCAGCAAGCCCGAGTGTATATTCTCTGGTCAAATTGAGTTTGACGAGTTCAAGGACGCGTTTGGGACGGGTG